GAGACACAGCTTTAAATGTGTTGAATATCCTTAGTAATTAGGGAAATGCAAATCAAAACCACTCTTTTGATTTCATCTTGCCATGGTCAGAATGGCTAAGATTAAGAGAAATAATACCAAATGCTGGAGAGGATATGGAGAAGGGGGAATGCTCATTCTCTGCTGGTGGGAATGCAAATTTGTGTAGCCCCCCATGGAAAGCAGTGTGGTGATCTCTTTGAAAACTAAAAATGAATCTACCATTTGACCTGGCATATACACAAAGAACTCATCCTACTGAAGAGATACTTATACATCCATGTTTGTTGCTGCTCTTTTTCAATAGCTAAGAAATGGAAACAACCTATGTGTCCCTCAACCTTCGAGGGGATAATGAAAACATGGTACAGTTACACAATGGAGTTTACTTGGCAGTAAAGAAAGACAAAATCATGAAATTTGCAGGTGAATGGATGGAACTAGAAATGGTTATGCTAAGTGAAGTAGCACAGACTCAGAAAAACAATGTATTTTTTCCCCTTGTTTGTGAATCTTAGCACCAAATCCTTATATGTGAGTATATAGCCTGATGTAACTATAGGAGCCAGAAAATGGAAAGAAACCATGGCGGTAAAAGGAAAGAAGGAGTCTGACAGAGAAGAACAATAGGAGCCAGGTGTTACCAAGGGGGAGATGAATAAAATTGGGGATATTTAACTGGGAGGGGAAAAGGAAGGGTTTATAAGGAACCATGGGGGTAAAGGGACTTGAGAGAGGGGGGACTATAGAAGACAGGTATTATCAAGAGTGAAAGGTGGAAAATGGGTCTACTTTAACTGGGGAGGGAGGAGGGAGGATTAGTGAGAGAGAGCGTGCAAAATGTATTAGTTCAAAAGTCTACTGACAAATTACACATACAATATCTCTACATGAGTCCATGTGTATAGCTGGAGGCTATATAACAAGAAACCATGCCCGACCGGAGAAACCTCCCTTTGAGTTGTTGGTCAGGGTAGTCCAAGAGACACCCCAAATTGCACAAGCTCTTGCCACATCCCTTGATTGCCTCTCAGAACTTGAAGATAAGACCCTATTGCTGAAGACAGGGCATACTTCCCACACAGGACTTGGAGCAATGGAGCTGGAACTGACCTGGAACCCTTTGCCCTTAAGACTAGCTCTCATAGTTCTAGAGGATATTGTGAAAGCTGATAAGGGAGGAAATCAATCAATGGTCCAATCCCTAATACCCACCTCAATGACCGGCACAACAAATTATATCAGTGCAGTAGTGGCACTTTATCTTGGGGATAATCAACAGCTATCTAATTAGATTTAAAATCCTCTCAGTGGGAAGGAACTCATGTGGCACTGTAAACACCACCAAATACACATGACTGGAGAGGTCACAGGTCCTAGAGAAAACCTTAACTCTGTCACAGCCCTAGACAAAAGTAGTTTCTTACTATACGCTAGACGTGGATCCTTATATTCATAGACAAGTATGCCAGTCACCACTCACCAAATAAGCTTCTTTTACAACAGACAGAGACTATTACAGGGTTCCACAACTGGTCAGACACAGAATATCTGTCAGATGCCTGACCCTAAGTGACACAGTGGAACCTCTACACCTAAGGCTCATGGAACATAGCGAAACAAGTAGAGAGAATAACGATGTGTCTCTCAACTCTCATCAATGAAGCTCCCTCATGCAACAGAGGACAAGTAACACAAAAGGATACAAATGGCTAAAGCATAGAGAATAAGAGTAGGTCCCTGGACAGGACTCCTATATTAAACTTCACTCACTCAGGGCTCAGGGATCATTGTAGAAGAGGGAGCAGAAATATTTTGAGAGCCAGGGGAGGGGGTGCATGACCACATGGAAACAGAGTCTTACACGCTCCTGGGACCTTGTGTGTATGAACCTATAACAATGGTGTCAGCATGCACAAGACCCAGCATGGAAGTAGGGAAATGGGCAGGAGGCCCCAACCTTAGTCAAAGAACTATTTGCAGCTGATTACTGCCAGATGAGGGAAAGTTAATCTTTTTTAAGGGAGAGGCTCTACATAAGCTGACTAGACCCTAGTGGATGAACCTGCACTGAGGGGCAACTGGGTACATTAACTTGACTAGAAAGGCCTTAACGTATATGACAGAATGTATGAAATCCAGTGGGGAGGTTTTATGGGGGGGGTGAGAATGGGAGAGGGGGTATAAAATGATTAAGATGTTTTGTATGAAATGCACCAAAATTCAATAAAGATACGCATTAAAAATGTTTCATACGCAAAACGTGATCAGAAGTGGAAAAATTTACAAAGACCCCATGCACAGGTGAATTGCAAACTACAGAAGCTTATTTGCTTTGGTGTTCTGGAGGATGGAGAGTCCAAGGTTGAGCTGCATCTCTGGGGGGGCCTTCGTGCTGCAGCACAGCATGGCAATGGGCATGAGATGGGCAGAAGGAAAGAGTCAGGAGGGAGTGGAGGGGGCTGAAGCTCCTCTTTTAACATGGACCCACTCCTGCTGTAAGTACTCCATTCCCACCATGAGAGCAGTCATCCTTTCATAAGGGCAGCCCTCCTGACCTACTCACTTCTCCAGGCTCCACTTCCAACATCCGTAGCTGGCAAGTAAATGTCAACAGGAGCTTTGGAAGGGACATTCAAAGTGAACTTTGCCTTTTTAGCTTTTTGTTTGTTTTGAGACAGGGTCCTGCTGTGTAGCCCAGACTGGTATGAACTCATGATTCTCCTGCCTGCATTACTCAAGCATGTGAGGATTGCAAGTGTGTGCCACCACTTGAGGACTTCAGGTTTAAACTTTAACTTTTAAAAAGTATTTTTACTTTATGTGTATTAGTGTATTGCCTGCATGTATGTGTGTGTATCCATGTTGTGCAATGCCCATGGAGGTCAGAAGAATGTGTTGGATCCCCTGGAACTAAGTGGAGTTATGGAGGGCTGTTAGTGGCCATGTGGGTGCTGGAAATTGAACCCGGGTCCTCTGCAAGAGCAGCCTGTGCTCTTAACCACTGAGCCATTTCTCTAGCCCCCTAAACTTTAACTTTCTAACTTGAGTTAAATAACACAGTGAATCTCCTTAATTCCTGAACGATACTGGCTGTGTGGTAAAAGCACGTGCCACTCAAGTATGGGGCCCTGAGTCTGAATCGCCAGTTCCCTATGAAAGTCAGATGAATAATATGAGTGTCTACAATCCTAGCAGTCCTAGGGAGAGATTGGAGGCAGAGACAGCAGACTCCCCAGAAGCCCCTGGACCAGGTAGCCTGGCATATGCAGCAGGTAAACAATAAAGTGACCCTGTCTCAAACAATGTGGAATGGCAGGACCATCACCTGACATTGTTCTTCTGACCTTCCCACATGCATACATACCCATGCATACATTCATACATTCATACACAGGTGTGTGCACACAGAGAGAAACACAGAGAAAGAGAGAGAGGGGGGAGAGAGAGAGAAGAGCTCAGATGAACTCCCCAAATCTTTCAACACATCTCACCCAGGGAATCCAAAAGGTAAAGACAGTTCAGCCAAGATTTTGGAGACCTTCATGGAGGAAAGGAACTGGAGCGTGGGATCACAGAGTTTCCCCTCCAAAGGCCAAGCACTTCTGCCTCATTACTGCATCAAGCTCTCTGGTGTCTCTTCTTTTCTTCAAGGTCACCCCTTGAATACATCTGGGCTATAGTCTCATGAAGCCACATAACCTCTCTCGCTTTCTTTTAAGAAGGCCTTATCTCCAGGACAGCTACATGGGGCATTATCATGTGACACTGTTCACTCCACAGCAGTCTTTACACAATTCTAATAATGCCTAGACCTAAGTATGGATTCTGTACTACTAACACAGAAGATTACGTGAAGATTATGTGTCCCTTCTCTTCATTGGACCTGGGTTACCTAGGTCACATCTATCCTTCAGATCTGACCCTTAATTCTGCTGTTCTGTGAACTCTCTTCTTCCTTACTGCTGTTCAACACTGACCTTGTACCTGGCATCTCTTAATGCTTAAGCCTCTGATACCACACTTGTTGGACCATCTACCTTAAGTTTCTGTTAAGTAACTATGTGGTTGTCAATACATGCTTATTTGAAATCCATAACTGACCTCTGTGAGTGTCTTAACTTTTCTAGAGTAACTCTCTGACCCATGACCTTGTGCATGCTAGTTAGGGGCTTTACATTCAGGCTCTGGAAAGTTCCTTACTGTGGGTTTGCTGTGTAATGCCTACACTTTCCCTATGCTGGTTCTGTGTTCTCCCTATCTTGTCCTGTGCTTCTCCCTCTGCCTTCTAGCAACTCTGATTAGCGATGGAATCACTTAAAAACTTACTGAGAATCAGGTGTGGTAATCCATACTTGTAACCCCAGTTTGGAGGCTGATACAGAAATAACAGAATTACAGAATTATCAATCATGCGATATTTAAATGGTTGTTTATTAATTATATAACCATCATTAAGTATTTCCGATTTGTGCCCGTGGTCCTGAATGCCCGCCATGATCTTCTTCTCATCACAGGCTTAATTTACCTTTCTGGCGTGAGATAAGGAGAGAGAGAAGGAAAAGACGTGTCAGTGAGTCCCCACTGCTGCTCACGCAATTCATCTTCCTGCCCTACAAAGCCTGTACACTCCCCTTCTGCCCAACCTCAGAGTCTGAGTCCCAAGCAAACCCTCTACTCAGGCTGTAGTGGCTGCCTCACCTGGCCTCTGAATTCCTAGGCCAGAGAAAGCTGTGGCCTACAACACATTGAGAGTTGGCCTGGGGCTTTTGAGCCCACAGTGCCCTGTGTAGGAAAAGTCTCAAACACACGGAGCAAAGGAGCAGAGAGAGCATGGGATTTTACATTCATTCTCAATGCTGCACCACACAGGGTTAGAAGTGGATGATTTGGAGGGAGGTCCAAGTGACCTGGTGGGATCTGATGCAATATTTAAAAGGGTGTACTTTCGGTGGTTTGTTGTCAAAGGACTGCTTACAGGTTCAATCTTCTTCAGAATCACTGAGCTCTTCATAGATCACTGTCTTCTTTCCTTCACACAGTCGGTGGCGCTGTGGATTCACCTGGCTCCTACTCTGGCCTGAGATAGGAAAAAGGTTACTACGTGAGAGCTGAGGGAAGATAAGAGCTTTTGGCCTTTTTGCTCATAAAATGATAGGATTTATCCCTCTCATGTGCCCATGGGCCTTGTCCATGCTCTGATTTTAACATCTTCTGGTTCAGAGAGACTGAGCTGTCAGACACCCACCAATTTAGACCACAGTCCAGCTCATAAGCTGTGGTATACCATTCAGTCGCTCCCTTCATCAAGCTTATGTTTCCCACCTCATCCCCCACAAGAAGAGTATCCAATTACATTGCGTGGATCAAAGAAATGAACCTCAGAGTATATGGAAGATTTCCCCAGTGCCACATGGCCCTTAGATGAAGGAGAAGTCAAATTGTGATTGTGAAGGCCTGTTCTAATCTCTAAGCTGGTGCCCAGGGAGGCCTGGGCTTATACAGTGTCCATACCACATCCCTGGAACACACTATGGAACATAGCCAAGGAAAGCAGAGGGTGTTTCTCCATTGTTTCCACCCCTGATGCTTTTCCACCGTTCCTCTCAGAGACACCTGCTTTCTCTTGGGCGTGCAGGCTTTTCTGAGTCCATCCTGAGCCACATGCACCTGGCATTTCTTTGGGTTAATCCTTCTTGTGATGCTTCCTTTAGCATCTGTAAATACTTTTCAAAGGTACATGTAAATGGTATCAGTGGCACTTCTGTAGTGACTTAGAGGTTACAAAGTATCTTCTCCTGCATTTTCTTTTGTTAAAAGTTATAATATATGTTAATTATACAAAATATCAGAATTTATTATAACATTTTCATGTAAGTATATAATATGTTACTAATATTACTAATGCCCTTTCTATTTAATGTTGGTTCTTAATGGGTACCCAATGAGTTTAATCAGCCTCACATCAGGAAGGCATTGATGAAGGATTAGGTTATTTACAGTATTATGGGCAAAGTACCAATGGCTACAACACTGAAGAAAATGCCTCTCCCTCCCCCAGTAATCATTAAGTGGCAATACCTTCTTAGAGAGGGATGGGGCATTTCAGCCCCTCCCTCTAGAAACTATTAACTGCCTATAAATTCCCTGGTGGGGAAAGACTAGTGAGTCCCTCCCTATACGATTTTTAGAATGTTGAAGGGCTCAAATGTGAAGGTCTTTCTCATTCGTTTTCTTAATGTGCTCCTCACTTCTGAGAGATGTTTGATTATTTGTACCTATATGAAAAGGAATGCAGGAGTTTAAAAGGGAGCAAGAGGGGCTAAATTAATCGTGTTTGTCCTTATATTCTGTCTAGACCAACATTCATGCCAACAGAAAAGGAATGCATGCAATTGGATATGTGGTATTAAGACAACTTGAGGAAAAGAAGCAATCAGGGAATTCACAGAGTCTGTGAAGGACAGGGATTATTTGAAATATATGGCTCCAGTCAAGTTTGTTTATTAGCAGAAGGGAGAAAAACAACTGCTGTATTAGAGTGGTGGGAAGAGGTGAATGTAGGGAAAGAAGAAATAAATGATACACATTCATCTGGGTATCAAATACCTTGGTGCCAAATGTGGCATCCCACCTGATCCCGGCAAGAACCCCACCTGTGGAATTAGGTAAGGTGGCACCTGCATTGATTCTCCTTGTATCTGGGGGTGTCGTTGACCACTATTCTTTTTTAAATGTTTTATTTGTTATTTTTATTTTATGTGTATAAGTTTTTTGCCTACATGTATGTAAGTGCGCCACATGCGTGCAATGTCCTGCAGAGGCCAGAAGAGAGTATCAGCTCCTCTAGAACTGGAGTTATGGATGGTTGTTAGCCACCATGTAGGTGCTGGGAACCTAACCTAGGTCCTCTAGAAGAGCAGCCAGTGCTCTCAACAGCTGAGTCATCTCTCCAGCCTGTTTTGCAATTTTTATATGACTGGTCCTTATGCATAGTCTTGTGAAAGAACTCCACATTCAACTCTGACCTGAGGAATGGAGGTGGTGTCTGTGACCATCCTAGGCATATTGAGTGAAAAGGAGATCCTTCAGGTCCCCTCACTGCCCACTCACCTTCACTCTCATGGCCATGACCTTCTTTAGAGTCACTGAGCAGGGATTCCCCAGCCTGTTCCTTGCCACGCATGAAAACTGGGAGGTTGACAGTGACTCCTAGAAAGAAGCAAAATGCTTGCTTTTAAAAAATATTTTATGTATATGAGTGTTTTACCTGCATGTATGCTCCATGTGCATGCAACACCTACAGAGACCAGAAGAGGGTGTCAGATCCCCTGGAAATGGAGTTCTGGGTAGTTGTTAGCTGCCATGTGGGTGATGGGAACTGAACCCGGATCCTCTGGAAGAGCACCCAGTGCTCTTAACCACTGAGCCATCTCTCCAGTCCCCAAAATGCTTGTTTATAACAGGTAGCCTGAGAACAGGAATGCAAGAAGGGTTGTGGGATGCCTCACAGACAGTAAGATCCACCAAAACAAAGGGAGGTAAAAGTGAGTCCCATGGTGGCTGATCATTACTCTCAACCTTGCACAGGATGGAAAAGAGCAGGATGCTCAGTAACTGACTTGATATTTCTCTCTGAAGAAAAGGAACATGAGGAGGAGGACCTGATACAATGTGAGAAGAAGCCATAGCATATGAAGGGACTGGGACATACCCAGGTTTCTCTGAAACCAGAACTTCCCATTACCTAGGCTGGACATTCTAATGTAGTTTCTTTTCATATACACGTAGGCACTTTTCTGCCATTTTGTTAATTTCAGCCACTCTTCCTTGGAGAAGTACTTGGAAATATCTTGGAAGGACTAGAAAAGAAGAAAATATAAATTCTGCCAGCCACTGTGCTTGACATGTGTGTCACTCACCCCAGACTCCCTTCTCTTTGGGATGACGTCTGTGTTGCACGTAGGGCAATGGGAGGGCCACATGAGGTCCAAGATGAATAGCTTCTTCCTTGCATGTTGTAGGTGCTCAATGCTGTTTACTTGTTCTCCTCTCCCATATAAGGGACTGAGAATCAACTAATGAGTGTAATACATGGTCATCAATCTGGTGACTTTGGGGACTCTATAGAAGGACACACTGGGGGGGGCGGGGGAGAGGAAAGATGGAGAGAGGGAGAGAGACAGAGAGACAGAGACAGAGAGACAGAGAGAGAGAGATCCTGAGTGAGATTTCTGGATGCCCTTTGGAGACCCTGATCCTTGTCCCCAGTGCCGTTACTCCTACCTTCTGAGAAATAAACCTACATTGGCTCTTGGTCACTGACCTACCCTTGCCAACCCCTAGAAAAGCACTTCACCTTGGATATCTTCTCTGGTTTAAGATTTTCTCTGCAGCTCTTTGGAGAATTGTTTTTGTCCATGGCACTGGAAATGATGATTTTGAAGATCACGACTTTCTTTTCTCCAGCTACAAGACCAAAGGGCCTATGGAAGAAGACATCATGGTGGAACATGAGCACTCAGTATCTGAAATTGGATTGTATCCTTCTCCAAACTGGAATTGCCAGTGCCAGAGAGGATCTCTGGGAGAAGTAGTGGTTGGGAATGATAGGGTTTCTATTGACATGTATTAAGTGATCTTGTGTGCTTGTGAGCATGTCACCTACTATAATGAGAAATTCTCCTAGACTTTATCTTAAACCTGATAGATGAGGGAAGCACAGATAGACGCCACTTGTTTTAACCCATATGTAGAAGGGGAAAAGTTGTATTTCCTTCCTATGTTACTGAGTGAGGTCAAAGTTAGTCTCTGCAATGTATAATGAGATCATTCCCAGTTTTACCACAAAACAGTAGAAAAGAGATATCAGAAGGCTTCAAACATATGGAAATGAAAAATATTTAAGAACAGAGAAATACTGATCAGCCACATTTGATGAGGACACATATATGCATATCTATATCTGGTTGTGTATGCACTATTACTGTATGTAAATTAAAATAAGTCATGAACAAAAGTCAGAACAAATCCTTATTGTGAAGCCAAGCTTGTTAGCACACACCTGTAAAGTGTGTTCTTAGAATGCTCAGGTAGGAGGATGGGGAGTTCAGTGCATCCTGGGCTACATATGAGACTGTCTCAAAAAGAAAGAGTACAAACAAACATGTCTGTATTGTGGAGGTAGCAAATTGAGTGTGAAGTGTGTTCTTATATATTCAATTACATTTTTGTGTGTGTCTGCGGGTATACATGTGTGCCCACACATGCAGATGCCATGTTACATGTATGGAGATCAGAGAACAAGTTGGAGTCAGTTTTCTCTGTCAAATATGTGTGTTCTGGGGATTAAACTCAGATCCTCAGGCTGGTGACAAGTACCTATTAATGAAGATTTTGCAAAACAAAAAAATCCTTTCAATATCATCAAATGAAGCCAATTTCCTTTTAAAAATATGTTTTATTTTCAATTAACTTTTGTGGTTAGTATCCAAAATTTGGACTTTCCTTATATTTTCATAAATGTGTATCATGATGTCTTTCTTAGAGTTTACTTTCATTATCTTTTCCTGTAGTCCCTTCCCCCTCAGAGTGGTCCACTTTCCACAATTTATCCCCTTTCTACTCTCAAGTCTGTTGAGTTCATATTGTTAAAAGCTGATTCATCATGAGAAAAACAACCTGAGGCATTTATCTTTTTTTCCCCCATTGCTGTCACCTGTTTGCCTCTCTACAACCAGACTCTTTTTTTTTTGGTCTTTTTTCAGACAGGGTATCGCTCACTATGTACGCCAAGCTGGCCCTGAACTCACAGAGATCTGCCTGCCTCTGCCTCCCAAGTGCTGGGACTAAAGGCATGTGCCACCACGCCCTGCTACAACCAGACTTTTATAACAGAGTCCTGTTCTGTGTGTAGTTTTTGTGGGAGTGTTCTCAGGGAAAGGGAGTGAGATGATTTCCACAGGTCCAGTGGTCTCCCTGACTGATGGCATTGGGTGGTCAAGGAAAGGGATAGATGGCTCTGCTGTGCTGAAGGCAGGTGGCTCTGCTAACTTCACTGGATTACTGGCTATTACTGGGCTAATTTCAAAAGTATTGTGAAGAGAGCTGGGCTCTCTGACTCTCCAACTGAAGAAATGTGGAATGTTTCGAGATGCCCCAATCTGGGGTTCACTCAACTGAAGTTATTGGAAAGTTTCTAGTGAGTGGACAGTCAGGGGTCTCTGGGGCTTTATCACAGAGGAGGGAGTAAATTACTTATTCCTTCATACGCTATATGGTGTTACCTCTGATTGAAGAAGTCTCGGGGCATCTGGTTCATTTCGAGTTTTCTGAGACTCAGAAATAGTGGCATGGGTGTCTGGACACCCTGGGGAATAGAGCCCAGTAAGCGCTTATCTCAAACACAGCCCTAAGGGTTGAGGATTACTGAAGGCACAGGAAAGGCACAAGTACTTTGTGGTCTACAGAAGCTCCTGAATGTTCTGCAAGCAGCAGTTTAAGTGATCTAGTGTGTCCCTCAGAGAGAACCTACCTCAGACACAAAAGGATCAGGAACTGTTTCTCGAGGAAGAGATCAAGTGTCTTGATGCAGCTTCCCCTCAAAGACTAACCAAACAGGGTAGTCCGTGCCCTGGAATTGTGAGAAAAGTAGGTGGGTCCAGTGAGGTAAGAATGGAGTATAAGAGCCCAAGGTTCTGTGTCAGGAAGTACTTCACAAAGGGGGTACCTGAATGTCCCACCTAAGTAGCATCTTTACTTTCCCTGGTACTGGCTACTCCAGGATCTGTGGACTTGTCGAAACACGTATTCATACACATCCCCATGTTTTCCTTCATGTTCAGACTCCATCTGTCCATCTAAATAAGTGAGAGATACATATGCATATATATATTATTTAGCTCACCATCTCAAATCCTCTACCTCTTTCTTTCATAAGTGGCCTATTCCTAGGATCTTTCTGCAACAACTTCATAACATTTAAATACATTTTGGAAAGGAATTATTAAAGCTAAAAAACACTCCTATATGTGCTTTTTCTTTAAAGACTCAAGAGCTTGAAGCATGTTTACTCTTCTATTTCTAATAATATCCTTATCAATAACAGCACCGAGTTGTGCATGTGATTTGTTTACTGTGTTCCTCGGGGGGTTCCTAAGTCAATTCTGTTAGAAAATCTTCCCTATCCATGTCCCATGTACTTCTAACACACCTAATATCTTCTGTGCTTTCTATTTAAAGTGTTGTTCTATGCTGTCCTTTCAAAACATAAAAAACCTCTCCTGGTAATTACGCCTCTCCAAGAATTAAGCCTTTCTCTGTATCTTCTCCCTGACTTTTCATAACCTCTGTTGATTCATGTACTGGTGTAAAACTTCTGACATCAAGGCTTAGACAATTAAGGAGCTGAGTGTGGTGCCTCACGCCTTTAATCCCAGCAGAGGCAGGTAGATCTCTGTGAGTTCAAGGCCAGCTTGGTCTACAGAGACTTCCAGGCCAGTTGGGGCTACAGAGAGACCCTGACTCAAAATGACCAAAAAAAAGGCTTAGACCACCAAGCAATATGGTAAAGGTCACATAGACAACAGTGTATATTCCTAAATTTCATCCCCAAGTTGAACATAATCTCGGGCCTGCTTTTAGCCATTACTTCCATATTTATTTTCTTTCCCTCTTTCTGTAGCCCTGGCTGTCCTGGACATCACTATTTAAACCAGGCTGACCTCAAACTCACAGAGATACACCTGCTTCTGCTTTCTGAGCACTGAAATTTAAAATCCTGGGCCACTATGTCTGGTATACATCCATATAACTTTAATATTTTGTTAGTCATATGAATGAATGCATGTATCATAAAACTGAAGTATGAGAGCTGTACAGATGGCTCAACAAGTAGCAGAGGGTAATACTTTTGCAGAGAACCCAAGTTTGGTTCCCAACAGTCACTTACTGTGGCTTACACTGCAGCTCCAGGAGCTCTGACATCCTCTTCTAGCCTCTGTGGGTGGCTATGCACATACATATGCACATACCCACAGAGACACACACATTAACATAGTTTTTTAATCTTTAAAAAATTTGAAGTATATCATTAACATTATCCCTTACAATCACTCCCGATTTCCTCTGACTGCTGTAAGCAGTTACCACAAACTCTGCAGCATAAAACAATAGAAATTTCTTCTCTCACTGTTCTGGAGACCATTTATTTCTATTCTTGTTTCCATATGTTGCTGTGATAAAATACTCTGACCGAAATCAACTTGGGGAGGAAAGTGGCTTGCACTTCTGGGTCACATTTCATCATTGAGGGAAGTCAGGGCAGGAACTAAGGTAGAAACCTGGAAGCAGGGACCATGGAGGAATCCTGCTTACTCTCTGTGGCTGCAACTGGCCTGGAATTCACTATGTAGTCCTGGCTGGACTCAATCTCACAGAGATCTACGTGCCTCTGCCTCCTGACTGCTGGGAGTAAAGGTGTGTGCCACCACACCTGGCTCTTCTTGCTTTTACAGAACAGGCCCATCTGCCTAGGGACAATGCTGTCCACAATGGGATGGTCTTTTCCATATCAATCAACAATCAATCCTTCACAGACATAGCCACAAGGCAATCTGATTGTGACAATCCCTCAACTGAAACTTCCATCTCAGGTGACTCTAGACTGTCAACCTGACAAGGCTAACCAGAACAACACACTTTTTTAAAACCTTTTTTAAAAATATGCATGTATGTATGTATGTATGTATGTATGTATGTATATGCCATATAAACCCGTTTCCCTCAAAAGAGTGAGTGTAAATCACAGGGACACATCTTTTCATAGGAAATTCTTTGGGTAGTTCAGTGGAAGAATTTTCTGACTGTCAAGACTGCAGGATGGTCTGTGGGAAACCAGAACATGGCAGGTCTCCATGGGCAGGAATTTTCCACAAAGAGAACAGGACCAGTCTTGAACTAATGTTCCTCGTGTCTCTCTGTCTCTCTGTCCCTGTCTTTCTGTCTCTCACTGTCTCTCTCTGTCTCTCTCTCTCTTTCTCTTTCCCTTTTTGTGTGTGTGTTGTATATGTTGATGTGTGTACCTGTGTGTGCAGGTGCACATAAATGTGTGAGCATCTCCATGAAAAGACCAAAAGTTGACCTTAAGTGTCTTGCTGGATTGCTCTCCCCCTGATCTTTTCAGATCAGGTATCTCACTGAACCCAGTATTTCATGCTGGCTGCCCTAGCTGGCCAGCAAGTTCTGGTGATCAGCAGGTCTCTAACACCTGCTTGTGCTAGAGTTAAAGGAGTGCACAACTTTGCACACCTTTCTCACATGGCTCCTAGAAATTGGAATTCAGTTCCTAATGTTTGTGTAGGAGAAGTGAGGAGTTGGGGTGGATTTGGGAGGTGATAATGAATGGATGGGGTGAATAGTATCAAAATATATTGCACGAAATTTTCAAAAATAATAAAATTAAATATTTTTAAATTGTTGTGGACATATGTGAGAGACTTATGTAGGTTAGCTACTATGCTCTATTTGCTCTTTTTTTCTCACTGTGCTGCCTATGTTGGTCTTAAACCTTTGGGAGCAGTCAATATTCCTGCCTTAGCCCCCAGAGCAGCTGGGATTCCGTTCATGAGCCACCACACCTGTCTCTCTTTGTGGTTGATTTCTGTTAAATAATGGTTACCACTTTTGGAGTTGATGGTCAAAGAGGTCCCATATGCTCCCAAACATTTACTGGCTATTGCCAGTGCTCTTAGTTACCATCCAGAACTTTAAAGTAAGACCCTATGGCTGAATATACCACATAATTGAGTCATAGAACATGGAGAAATCAAGATGGCACTGACCTGGAAGCTTCATCCCTACTGGTGAGCTTTCACAGTGCTGGGAGTTGCTATGCACAGTACTAGAAGAGAAAAGTAATCACCAGTTTTACCCAGCTTTGAATCATGAATGTCATGGGAGTAATCAACCACTTTCTGCTTGGGTTTAAGGCCCAGTCCACAAGATGAAACCCATACCTGGCACCATTACAGGGGCCAAGAACCTGTGGGCAGACAGGACCTAGGGCCTAGAGGAGGACCTACTACTATTATTCTGCCAAATGGACATAGTATTAAATCAATCCCTGATGACTTATTGTTATATCCACAGATTAGTGCATCTCTCAGTCCTCATTAGAGGAGCTTCTTGCCACAGATGGCAATTAACACAGAGACCTACAACTGATCAAAGTGCAGAGAATAGAGACTGCAAAATGCTCAGGCCTAAATAGGACACCTATATTACACCTTTTTCTCCAAAGGCTCAGGGATCATTGTGGAAGTGGGTAAATAGAAAGATTGTAAGAGCCAGAGGCAGTCGATGACTTCAAGGAAACTGTTTTCTGACCAAACAAGGCAGGAGCACAATGAACTCAGAGCATTTGCAATAGCAAGCACAAGACCTGCACAAACTCAGGTAAGGCAAAACCCTAGAAAGGAAGAGGGAGGAAGACACAAAGTCCCACCCCTCTCTGAGGAGCTATAGGCAACTGATAGCTCTTGAGAGAAACACAGTTTTCTTTAATAATGTGTCCCCTAGTAGGCTGACTATGCTCCAGTGGATGGCCACACACCTAGGACCATATGGGAAGCACAAATTGGACTCAATTAGATTAAACAAAACGAAGACACAATGGTGGATGGATATGAAAAGGAAGTGGATCTGGGAAGTTGGGAAAGGGTGTGTGAATAGGATCAAAGTATATTTTAAGCAATTGTGCACACTGGATAAGATTGATGATTACTTTTCTCTGGTAGCATGCATAGCACCCTTCATCACTGTGAAAGCTATCCAGTAGGGATGAATATTCTTGGTTAGTATCCACTTGAGTTTTCCATGTTCTGTGACTCAAGTATGCATTGTCTTCAGAAATAGGGTCTTACCCATCAACTTCTGGAGGGTAACCAAGAGCAATGACAATATCCTGTAATATTCGTGAGTCTGTGGAATCCAACTGGTTGAAAACTCCAAGAAAGGTAAACTATTCATTGTACTGGGGGTTGTATTTGCTAGGATGACAAGTCTAGTTCAGGTGTTGTCCCCCTGTTACAGGGTACCTACTTTTAAACTCTTTTTATATGTGTGTATTTTAGAGACATTCTACAATAGAAGGCTTTGATATGTTTTTTTCAAAACCATAGTGTTGCTTATCACCCCCAGTCCCTCCTCTATTCTATGCTCCTTTCCCACACCCCATTTAATCCTCCTGTTCCATTTTTCCCTTCCCACTATACCACTATGTTCTATCTCCCTTCACTTCAAAGATCCCCATTCCCCATGGCA